GTAATAAGTAATAATAAATAATAATAAAAATTATGTAATGTAAGAATAGATATTATAATTAAATTTTAATTGTAACTTAATATAAATAAGCAAAAACATACAATATAATAATAAATAAATAATAATGATAAAGAGTAATAAGTAATAATAAATAATAATAAAAATTATGTAATGTAAGAATAGATATTATAATTAAATTTTAATTGTAACTTAATATAAATAAGCAAAAACATACAATATAATAATAAATAAATAATAATGATAAAGAGTAATAAGTAATAATAAATAATAATAAAAATTATGTAATGTAAGTAATACATATTATAATTACATTTTATTTCTAACTTAATATAAATGAAATAAATTCTATAGTATAAGAATAATGAAGAATGATAATAAAATAAACTATATAATATAATAATACTGTAACTAAATTTTAATTCTAATTTCCTATAAAAAAACAAAACCATGTGATATAATAATACATAAATAATAATGATAAATAATAATAAATAGTAATAAAAATTATATAATGTAGTAATACATATTATAATTAAATTTTATTTATAACTTAATATAAATGAAATAAATTCTATAGTATAAGAATAATGAAGAATGATAATAAAATAAACTATATAATATAATAATACTATAGCTAAGTTTTAATTCTAATTTCCTCTAAATCAACTCAGCCGCTGTCCCCTTTCCTTCCAGCCCACCTGGTGATCAACGATTCCTTTCTCCAGAAGTGGGAAGCTCGGGGGTTCTTTGGCCTGAAGGAGTACGCGGAGCACGTGGACGACAGAGACCTGGCGGGGAAGATTTCCATCGTGGAGAAGTACAGGGAGCGGATCCCGGAGCTGGTGCAGAGGATCGAGAGATCCCACGTGTCCCAGGAATCCCTGGCGGGTAAAGCCGGGGACAAAGGGGCAAACCCGGGTCTCCTTTCGGTCCTGAATCCAGCCGATCCTGGAAAAAAAGGCTGAGTTTGGATCGAGGTGGACTTTTAGGGAGAAGGGAGGTTGAGTGGGAGCTTTAGGGCTGGAGCCAGGCTGGGAGAGCTGGGAATGTTCACCTGGAGAAGGGAAGGCTCCAGGAGAGCTGAGAGCCCCTGGCAGGGCCTAAAGGGGCTCCAGGAGAGCTGGAGAGGGACTGGGGACAAGGGATGGAGGGACAGGACACAGGGAATGGCTTCCCAGTGCCAGAGGGCAGGGATGGATGGGATATTGGGAAGGAATTGCTGGCTGGGAGGGTGAGGAGGGGCTGGAATGGATTTCCCAGAGAAGCTGTGGCTGCCCCAGGATCCCTGGAAGTGTCCAAGGCCAGGTTGGAGCAACCTGGGCTAGTGGGAGGTGTCCCTGCCCATGGAACTGTACAGACTTTAAGGTCTCCTTCAACCATTCCATGGTTTTATGATTCCATGGATATTTCACTTGCCCTGACTGAAACGTGGGGGGGGACACGAATCAGTCAGGTAGAAAATTCCTCAAACAAAGAACATTCCCATTTGGAAATCAGGGCTGGCAATTCCCTTCAGCCCTTTAGGATTCCCGACAGAGGAGCTCCTGATTTATATTTGGGGGAGAAGTTAAAATTCATGGAGAATGAGATGAAATTCCAAACCAGTTTTTGCCGCCGTGGCTGATCTTTATTCCTTCTTTTTTTCCTTCCTGTGTTCCCACATGTGCCGGATCCAGATTATCTCATAGGTACTGTCCACCAAGCCAAAGGCCTGGAATTCGACACCGTGCTGGTGGCCGATGATTTCGTGAAGGCCCCGTGTGGGAGCGACGCTTCCCAGAGGAGAACCAACCTGGCCATTGGTATGGGAACAGCTCCTGGGAAAGCAGGGAAGGGAAGGGAGCTGGGAAGGGGCTGGAGAGCTCCTGAGGGAGCTGGGGGGGCTCATCCTGGAGCAAAGGAGGCTCAGGGGGGACCTTCTGGCTCTGCAAGTCCCTGCCAGGAGGGGGGAGCCGGGGGGAGTCGGGCTCTGCTCCCAGGGAACAAGGGACAGGCCAAGGGGAAACGGCCTCAGGCTGGGCCAGGGGAGGGTCAGGTTGGATATCAGGGAAAATTTCCTCGTGGAAGGGGTGGTCAGGCATTGGAACAGCCTGGAGTCCCCATCCCTGGAGGGATTTCAGATCCCTGTGGATGTGACACTTGGGGACATGGTCAGTGGTGGCCTCGGCAGAGCTGGGAAGGGTTGGAATCAATGGTCTTAAAGGCCTTTTCCAGCTTTAAGGATTCTCTGATTCCATGAATATTCCTGCAACTGTCGCCATGTAGCAACAGGGAAAGACCAACTCCAGGCTTGGCAGGGCCTCTGCTTTCCTTAGGTTCCTGTTTTTTGGAGGAGCTGGGCTCTCCCCGGGAGCAGAGGGAATCCAGGCCCCGGGAAACTCCCCCAGTGCAAAGCCTGTGCTCCACAGGCAGGAAAACACGGAGCTGGGAGCAGCTCCCTGCCTGTGCCCGGAGGGAGGAATGTGGAACGAGGCAGGAGCTTGGATGGCGTCAGGACCCTCACAGCAAACAGAGCCTGCACATTCCCGCTTTCCCAGAGAAACACTGGAATGCTTTGGGTTGGAAGGACCTTAAAGCCCATCCCATCCCATCCCATCCCACCCTCTGCCGTGGGCAGGGAAAACCTCCTGCTATCCCAGGTTGCTCCAAGCCTTACCCAACCTGGACAAAGCATGGGAAGGAGGGCAGGGCTGTTCCTCCTTGCTCCCTAAATCCATGGATCGTGTCTGCTCCGTGCTAGGCGCCATCCCGGAGGACGAGTGGAACCTGCTCTACGTCGCCGTGACCCGGGCAAAGAAGTGTCTCCTGCTCTCCAAATCCCTGGAACACCTCCTAGCCCTGGCTGGGGTGAGTGAAATCCTTCCCAAGGCAGGAAAACCCCTTCAGCGGGGTTATTTAGGATACCTGCCCCTAAGGATTATCCCCCCGATCCCAAGTTTCAGGTGGATCTGTGCTGGTCACGTTTTTTGCTGCTCCATGCCGTGATTCCAGCAGGAAAACACAAGATTGCAGCAGTTTTTCCCCCCACAGTTCTTGCATTTGGGTGTTGTTTTCCACAGATCCTGAGTTCTTCCCTCTGGGATCCCCTTTTCCCTATCTGTGGGGCTGCCAGCTCTTCCCTTATTTCCTTCCTCCTTTCCCGTTGGCTTCTCCTTGACTTTTTTTATCACCAGGAATTTGGGATTTTGGTTTGTTGGTTGTTTTTTTTTAAAGCCCATCCTGTTGCAAATCGTTTTCCAAGAGGTTAAAAAAAATAAGGCAACAACCTCTTCCAGCTTCTCAGCTCCCTCTGAGGGGCGTTATTCCCCTTTTCCCTTGTTTTTTAGGAGCAATTCCTTCGGGTGGAGCTGATGAGTGAGGCTGCCAAGGCCGGAGCATCCCGGACTTGCTGCATGTCCAGATGCACAAACATGTTGGATCCCAGCTCCAGGCTGGTTGTGAGGAAGCTCCCGTTGACTCACGTACGTCTTTTCCCTGGGATTTTGGGATTGGGAGCCTCCAGTCCCTGTTCTGAGCCGGGATCTCACCCCCACAGCTCCCCATCCTCGTGACTTCCCGGGGGGATTCCGGGTGTGTTGCACTTCCCACAGATCCATTTAGTTCCCAGATTTCTCATCTGAGGCTTTTTGTGGTCTCAAGTGGAGAAAGTTTGGGGGTTTTGTTGTGTCAGATCCCACACCCGAGTCTTGGAGCCTCTGCTGAGCCCATGGAGCATCCCATGGGATTGGCAGAGCACCCCTCGCCCCAGGGACAGTCGGATTTTGGGGTCCAGGTTTGCCTTTGATCCCACCCTCTGGCTCGGGGGTGGAGCCTTATCCAGAGGGTACCATGAAGGCCAAGCTCTGGAGTGACCACATGGAAAATCTGGGAAGCTCCACATCCAGGGGACAACAGATGGCTCTGATCCATCCACAGGGACACGAGGGCGGGACAGGAGGGAACGGCCTCGATCTGTGCCGGGGGACGTTTAGGTGGGATACTGGGGAAAATTCCTGCATGGAAAGGGTTGTCCAGTGGTGGATTCCCCATCCCTGCAGGGATTTAACAGCCACGTGGATGTGGCACTTGGGGACATGGATTAGTGGTGGCATTGGAAGTGCCGGGGAATGTTGGACTCCATCTCAGAGAGATCTTTCCAACCTAAACGATTCCATGACTCCATCAGGGATTTCCAAGCTTTGGGCACATCACCGTTCCCTTCCCTGGGCAGGAGGGTCTCGTGGCCGAGGTTGGAAGTGGAGCTGGTGTCCCTGCAGCTCCCTCTTCCCTGAAATTCCCGTCTCTCCCTCCCGCAGAGCAACGGCAGCCGCGATCCCGGGGGATTCCTGTGCCAACCTTGCACCCGGCAGCGCTTCGGCTCCCTGGCTCCACTCACCTCCTTCCCAGCGCTCCAGGAACAGCCCTGCCAGCTCTAGGGAAGCCCTTCCAGCTTCCCAAAGCCCGTTGGTGCATCCCAGCTCAGGAATCAGGTGGATATTGGAGCGGGATTTGGGTGGATATTGGAATGGGATTCCAGCCCGGCTCCGGAGGAACCCCGTAGGCTCTGGGAGACCTTTCCTGCAGCCCTGCTTTGCCTTCCAGGAGCTGGGAAGCAGAATATCCCAAAGAATATGCACTTTAAGAACTGGATCAGCATTAATTTTGGAGCATTATCCCTGTGTACCTCCGTCACAGCGACCAAACTTCCCTGGATATCCCTCCCTCCTCCCTGACGTCAGCGCTCCGTGAAATCCCTCTGATCCGCTGGAAGAAGAGGAAATGCAACCCTGGAAAGCTCCCAAAGGAACAGGCTATTTCTGGGAAATGGACTTTTCCTGGCCAGCAATGGGAGGAAATCATTAATCCCTCCCAGGGAATGAATTCCCCCTCCTGGCAGCCATGGGCTTTCCCAGACTTGCTTCCCTTTTCCCAGGACCGAACCGTGAGGGAAGAACTGCTTTGGTTTGACCTGGAGACAAACTGGAGAGAGTTTTGAATCCTAAAACTCCATTTATAACCAAAAAAAAAAAGCCTTAAAACTTCCTCCTCTTCCTTAAGTGCTTTGGCTGCATTGAATTCCAGCTCTTGGGGAAAATCCTGGTGGATCGTGCTCCGTTGTGCCGCAATTCCAAAGCCTGTGCCACAGGAAGAGCGAAACTGAAAGTGGTTCTGGAAGGGATCTGCCCTTGGATCCAGGCCCGGAGCAGGAAGAGCCTCGTGCATCCTGTTATTCCCATGGGAGCTGCTGGAAGGGCTTGACTCCAGGAGCACATTCCCCGCTCCGCTCACCCTGGGGGCAGGAATTCCCGCTTGGATTAGGACGTGGATGTCGGAGCAGGAACCTCCAGTGCTCCATCCCATGGGAGAGAGGCACTTCCAGCTTCCATGGCTGGAGGGTCTGGACCGTCACACATCCATGGCGCCGATTCCTTTCCCACAAACAGGAGGACAAGGCACAGCAGCCGGGAAAGAACATGGAATTTTGGGCTGTTGATGGGAATTCCAGTGCCCGACGAGCCCTCGGTCCTGCGGAGATGGATTTCATGGATTTCATCCCGATCCAATCCTTCCCTATCCTGGCTGAGACCCCCCAATCAACTGCTCTGTGTGATTTTTATATAAAATATATATATTTATACATAAGAAGAGGCACCAGAGCTGCCTGTCCTGAAATAAAGGAAAACAGTGGATAAAAACCACCGATGGATGAAGGAAAACCACAGCAAGGGAAATATTCCCTAAGTCGCGTCCTGGAAATGTTTTTCCTTGGAATATTTCCTAAGTTTTGTCTCTCGAGAAGTGTAAATTGTAGTGAAATTGCTCCGGGTTGGGATCCCTGGGAGCAGCCAGAGCCAGGGGGGATCAGGAATCCGGAGCCTGGATGGGTGCTGGAAGTGCTTCCAAAGGATCCCTGAGCTGCGTCCGAGGGCGGAATGGGGCTGGAAGCCTTGGCTGGAAAAGAGCAGGAAAGGGGTGAGGATGTGTGGAGGGATCTTTGGATGGGTCCCTCTCCACCTGATTCCTGGGATCTGGGGGAATTCGAGGGCAAAGCCGCTCTAGGGATGGGGTTGGTGTCCGGTTGGGCAGCTCTGGATGTGCTGCTGGATAGGGAATGGGCACTGCTTGGAGCAGGGAAGCTCGGCTTCATCCCAAACACCCCCATCCTGGCATCCCAAAGGCCCCCATCCCTGCATCCCAAATA